GCGGAGGAGGAGGGAGAGGAAGCGGGCGTGGGGGAGCCCATTTTCCTCCCTGCAGACGGACCGCCGCCGGACCGCGGGGCGAGCGGAGCATGATTGTTGGTATAGGAAGTGTCTGCTCTTTTTTTTTTTTTTTTTGGCTTTTTTTTTTTTTCTTAAGAGCCGGGCTATTCAAAACCCTTTGGTGCAATTCTCCGGTAAACAATGATTCACGGGGCTTAATGCAAATAAACGGATTGCAAATTTTCCTCCCTGCAGACGGACCGCCGCCGGACCGCGGGGCGAGCGGAGCATGATTGTTGGTATAGGAAGTGTCTGCTCTTTTTTTTTTTTTTTTTGGCTTTTTTTTTTTTTCTTAAGAGCCGGGCTATTCAAAACCCTTTGGTGCAATTCTCCGGTAAACAATGATTCACGGGGCTTAATGCAAATAAACGGATTGCAAATGGAGCTTTCCCTTTGCACTTTGCAGCTGCCGGATTTTTTTCTTTGGAGTGGCCAAGCCTCAGATTTCTGCCTTTTTTTGCAGATCTGCAGAATATGGCGTCCCTGTCCTGTTTTAAAAATAAGCCAGGCTGCCATTTTTGTTTTTCTTTTGTCTGAAAATTTTAATAAAACTGTCTGAGAATGTGGGAGAGGCAGCTGAGAGGCAAAAGGGGCACCTAAAGGGGTGGTTTTTTTCTTAGCTTTGCTTTTTTGTGTTGTTGTGGCACAGATCGCGCTGGCAGCGAGGAGCCGATGTGATTGCACTTCAAAAGGAAACAGTTAAAACATTTCTGTGGGAGGGGGTTTAAGATTTAAAGTTAACTTATACGAAAGTTTTTTTTTTTTACAGTTTTTTTTTTTTTCCTTCCTTAAAAAAAAAACGCAAAGAAAAACCCCGGTCTGTATTTTCTCTTTCTCCCTTCGGATTGTTTAATGGAAAAGTGAATTGAATCTGAATGTACCTATCTTTTAAAAAGCAGATGGCTGTGAATGTTGCATGCTGGTGAGCAGGGGCACAGGCTTTTGGGGGAGAGCAGGGCTTTGATTTCAGCAGAAAGCGATGCTGCCGAAGGGGATGTTTAATCGGGCAGATTTTGCAGTTGCGCTGGAGCACAGTGTGGAATCTGCAGCTTTAGGAACCGCCACGATTTTTCGTGCGGCTGCATAGATGGGTCTGTGCATATGTGAACATAGGTCTAGCCTGTGCAGTGTGTGTGCCTCTTCTATTTATATGTGCATCCTTTAAATGCACGCTACAGTCTGCTGTGCAGTGTTTGAGCCTGAGAGCGAAGAATAGGGATGTTATTTTAAGACTTAAATGATTTATTTTTAGAAAGCTGCTATTTGGGAAGCCTTGTCGAGTGTAGACCTAAGCATGCCTCTTTCTCCCACTGGATTGTGCTTTTAGTCTCATTCTGAAAACGGATGCACTTTTATTTGCTGGCTGTTTGGGGGAGATGAAGTGCCATTTCTCAGCTGCCTGTCTGCGCTGTTCTTTGACTGTTGCTCTTTAACTGATCTGAGAGGGGCCTGTCCAAGGCCTGGGGAGCTGAAGAGAGATTTTTAGGGAGGAAGTAAAAGTTTACAATGGATCTTGGTTTGAAAGTTGGAGAAGGGGAGGAATCTAGTTAGGCCCCAGCACTGCAGCCAACAGCCTCTCAGGATGGGCTCACTGCTCTCTGATTTTGGGGCATTTTGGGTAAAAATATTATAATTTTTGCTTTGGGCCAGATATTCCTAAATGGTATAGACCAGTCCCATTTCTGAAGCCAGTCCTCTGACTTCACTGGGGATCATCATTTGTGGGGTGCTTTCTGTGTATTTGGGATGTGTATTGGGGTGTGTGTGAAGTTATCCTCCTTGTCCCCTATAGAAACACATCTTGCGTGCAGCGTCTGTACTCTGCTAGATCTGGAGATGGACAGATATGAGGGGAAGCAGCGACAGTTCGGACAGAGGTGGGCATGCTGAGTTCTTGACGGAGCTAAAATAACCCCCAGCAGATCTCTGTGTGTCCTAGTAACGCGCCAAAGTGCATGAAGAAGTGCTAAATGTAGGGATGGGACAAACCTCCAGCATGGATTTGGGGTCCAGTCCTGCAAGCCACCTGCACGGGATCATTGGTGACAGTCTGTGGGGGGTTTCAGCCACTTGCTGGATCTGGCCGGGATGTAAACCCATGTTATCCTGTAAGCCTGTGAATTGTTTGACTCTTCATCCCCAAGCAGCGTGGAGAAAAATACTCGGAGTTATAAAAAACACCAGCCGCTCTGTTTGTAATACAGGCCGTCTAACCACGAATTAACAACCCAGGCTCAGAACCGTGATTCGCAAAGTGCATGTGTGTGTTTTGTATATGGATGATGCATGTCACAGAGCAGGGACTCAGGACAACTGGATTCAGCTCCATTTCTTTTGCCGGCCCCCTGCGTGGCCTCAGACTAGTCACTTAGCTGCTCTGTGCCTCAGTTTCCCCATTGTAAAATTTCTCTAATGATGCTATGGATGAAAAGGACTTCTCCAAGTACTGAGTATTACTATTGTCTGTGCAGTCGGCAACTGTATGGAGACACTCTAGATTCATCTGCATGTCCTGGTACCGGATAATGCCTGCTGACTAACTTGACCGCTCTGATCTCTGTCGGCTCTCTCAGCAGCTAGGACCTGGAATCAGATGTGTCCCAAAAATCTAGGTTTCTTGCCTCTGATATCAGAACTTGTGTTCTGTGTTCAGGGCAGTGTCTGGAGTGATTCGTGCTGTTGTAGAGGCCCGGTGGCAAGCTAGACGATGGTGGTGGGGACTCGGACTGCCCTGTTGTGTTGAGGGCTCAGGCAGGAGTTCTGCCGTCACAACAGCATGAGAGGTGCCCACATGTAACCTTGGAAGAGAGCAGGGCTCGGACCCGGAGGCTTTGCTTGGGCAGAGCGGGAAACGGTGGTGAAGTTTGCCCTCAGCTCCTGTTGGCCTGTGCTGCTCTGGCACTACACTTCTCTGCTCCTTGCTGAGTGGGCTGCTCTCTAGGATTACATGTATGCAGGCAGCATGGGTGGGCTTCCTCGCCTGTACCTGGGGGGCTCTCGGGAGCCAGCTGAGGTGTCATATCTGTGGAATGGCAGTGCCTGGCCCCTCATCCGCCTCAGCACTACCGTTCTGATTTTAGGAAGGTTTTGCCCCAAGTCGTCTTGGTGCAATCACAGGACCCATCACGTGTGCTGGGCAGCTTTGCTGATGTTAGCAACGTGAAAGCACTAGCGTCGCCAAGACCCTGGTGCTCTTTGCTTTGTGTTGTTCTGCCTTGGAGACCTGGTGGTGATGATTCTTTGTGCTTGGTTGATGCTGGTGCCATTGTCTCCGCTGGTGCAGATGTGCTAATGGTAAATCACAGGTGCCAGCAGCGGTGCAGCTGGAGAGCACTGGTGTCAGGGCTGGAATTTAAACCTGGTCGTTTCCAGTTGCTTGCCTTGCACTTCTGCCCCTAGGTGCTCACACTTGTGGCTGAGCAGCTCCCACCAATGGCTGGGATGGGTCATTGGCTGGCGAGGGTGGAAATGCACGGAGGTGCGGTGATATCTGCTGAAGGGAAAGCCACTCATTGTGCAGTTTTCCTCCAGTGCAGGGCATGCTGGTAGCGCTCTGCTGGCACTGGGCTTGGCCCCAGACATGCTGGGGACTGGCTTGGCTGTCTTAAGTCAGATCAGAGATCCTGGCCCTCTGGAGCAGTGGTCTAATTAATAATTTCTGTGCTCTGGGCCAAACTCTCCTGCTCCCGGGGAGGAGAATGATCTCACCTGCCCCTGTCCCTGCACTCTGCTCCGCTGGCCAGGCAGGCAGCGCAGGGGGCAGGCAAACAGTTCTGGTGCCCCCTCCGAGTAGGTGCCTGGGGCTGGTGCCTCCCCGCCGCCCCCGTCAAGTTATGCTGCTACTCAGGAGCTATGTGGCTTTGGGTTTATTTTGGCCTGGTCCTATTCACTGAGCCAGTTGGCACCCTCCTCCATGGCTATCGCAGACCTCCTCTCCCAGCCTGTAGACTGGTTTTAATTGGGCTTTGTTTTTGCCCAGCCATCCACCACCTGTTGGTTGGCAGCAGCAGGAGGGAGCTCTAAGGCACTGACATGACTGGTAAATGGACCCCAGACCTCCCCAGGCAGTTGTCTGTCCTCCTCGAGACCTCTGCATTAAGGGTGAAGTAGTCCCAGCACTATGTCCACTCTGGGGACTCTTGTCCTGAATTGCTTTCTTGGCTGATATGACTCCAGATCTCTGCTAACTAACTCACTTCAGCCTCTGACTGCTGATTTTTCCTCTCTTTTTGAAGTGTCTGCGGTGAACGCTGTACTCTGGCTGCAGGGGGTTTTCTGTGGGTCGTGACTTTCCTGCCAGGCAGTGTGGTCCAGCCTGGGCTCTCCACCCTGTGATCAGTGTGGTGTGCTGGAGAGGCACATTTCCCCATTGCGTGGCTGATAGGGGTTTCCTTGCACAAATGAAAGGGAGCATTTGCCTCAGCAGCACCGCGTTGCCTGGCCTCTCCTCAGCACGGAAACAGGTTCAGGAGAAAAGCTCCAGGTGTAAGAGATGGGATCATCTCGTCCGCCCCACACTTGGGGACTCGGAGTCCCCCAGAGACCGCGGGGAGCTGTGGGGGTGTAGTACATGTACTGCTGCCTTGTTCTGTCAGTGGCTGGAGGCGTGTGCCCACGGGAAGTGCAGCCCTCAGCACGCATGTGTCATTAGACTTGTGCACATTTAAGTGCAGGGTGAACCCAGCCTGGGCATGGACTGAACTTCATGGTGCTACCCATGTCCTTCAGTCCTGACCTGCAGCCTCCAGTGCTTCCCCAGCCCTCGGCTCCTCCTCCTCCTCCTCTCCTCTCCTGTGAGGGGCCCTCAGCTGGCTGGCGAAGAACTGCGCGATGGCCAGGTGCTGTGCTTGGGCTTGTCGTGGGGCTGACTCCCTGCTCTGGCACAGCCTTGCTGGGTGACCTTGGGAGAGTCACTTAGTCACTCCGGGGGTTCAGGTCTGCATCTGTACAATGAGTACAGCCCTGCCCTGCCTTACAGTGGAGGGAGGACATATTCATGACAGCCTGTGGGGTGCTTGGGCACTGTGGTGAGGGGGCCATATAAGAACCGCAGATACACAGGACACTGATTGAGTCTTGCCTCGTGAAGTTGAGCTGGGGATGCTGAATCAGCCTCGGCCCCATGTTTGTGTCTGTGTCCCGTCCACCCCAGAGCTTCCTCGCCTGCATTTGCTTTTTAAAACTGCCCCTCAGGAGCGAGAGCTCTGGCTGGGCTCTGGAACCCAGACCCAGCGCTGGCAACAGACACGCTCGGGGCTGCTGACCGCGAGCTCTGGTTCTCCGGCCTTGTGTTGGGTGCTCATGGTGGCAGCCTGAGATGGCAGGGCAGGGCCGTGGGGAGCAGCCGCTGAGATGCTCAGTGCTCCCAGGTGATGGGCAGCAAGGGAAGGGGTGAGTGCAGGGTGATGGGCAGTAAGGGAGGGGTGGGTACAGGGCAGTGGGTACGCAGGGGACAGGTTGGCACAGCTTCTGGAGCTTTTTTCACTCTTGCTCAGGAAGGCACCAGACTGCAAACGCCGACCGCGGACCATCAGGGGCAGAAGCAGAGAGGGTCACTGGCTCCCTGTTGCGTGGCTTCTTGTGGTGCGGGATCCCGGGGCTGCTCCTGAAGGGCAGGAGCTGCTGGTGCTTTGCTGGCCTGGCTGACCTGGGTTCTGGCGGCTGCTCTGTTTGCTCCTCCTTTCCCGGCTGTTCTCTGGAATGTCTTGATTTAATATAAACCTTGTTTCACGCAGGACAAAGCAGTTTGGGGGTGAGAGGGGGCACGAGCTGGGGAAAGGGCACCTCAGTCTCCATGGAGTAGTGTCGTGTCTCAGCCACAGCTGCTTTAGGGAGGTCACAAGCTCCTCCAGGGACCCTGGTCTTCACAGGCCACAGCCGATGCCTTCGCAGCTGAGGTGCACGAGCCCACGCAGTGGGATGTTCCCGGCAGGCGGGTTCCTCTCAGTGCTGCTTGACATGAGTGTGCACAGGGGCCTTGCTGGGCTGTGGGACACCGTGTCCTGAAACCATAGCTCCCGGTGAGAAACAAACCACAGCTTTTACCGTGATCTGCACTGGAAGCATTGACAGCTTCCTCCTCCTTCGTCCCCAGTCGTCTCTGCCAGGCGCAGGGGCCAAAGGACAGAGACGTTCCCAAGGAGGCACGGGTCAAGTGTTGTGCCCATCTGTGTGCTTTCCTTGTGGTCTTCCCTGCTGCTTTTTGAGGCGAGAAGGGCTGAAGCCCCACAGGAAGTGGGGTGTTGGTGTCATCAGTCTTTTTCCAAAGGAGAAACCAAGGCCTGGAGTAGGCGGTGACCCGCCCATGGCTTTACAGCGAGTCGGTGGCAGAGCTGGGGTAGAACCCAGGCATCCTGATGCCTGTAAGGTTCAGATCTACCCTGCCTCCTACCTGGCTTCAACTAGCTGCATCCCTGGGGTGTGGAGGGGCAGAGTGGAGCTGAGCTGGTAGAGGAGAAGGGTTGAGAAAAGAAAAGTTGGGCAGGAGAGAAGGGAAAGGGTGGAGGGAACGTGGTAGCAGGGAGAGCTCAAGTGCCTGTAATGCAGGGGGCAGGGGAATAAAATAATGCATTCATTCATTCTTTGACTTCTCCCCTCCTTTCCTGGACTGGGACTAGGCCCTAGTGCGGGGTGAGTCTCTTGGCAAGGGGGAGAGACTTGGGGACCTGGCAGTAGCTTGGCTGTGGCTCTGGGCTTGGAGCTGGGGGGCGCTAACCCAGCCCCCGGCTCTGTGGCATCTGGCATTGATGCGGGCTCCTTGCCTGGCTGTGTGAGCAGAGGGCTGACAATGGGCGCATTGCTGAAGGCTGCAGGCAGTGCTCAAGACCTGCTCTCGAGCCCCTGAAGTATGTATTAGCTTGATGTGCTGGCACTGCTCTGAGCTCAGCTCTGAGGCCGGGGGAGTCAGAGACGGTTCTTGAGGCTGCTTTGCAACATGCAGGACTTTGCACTTGGCATTTGAGCTTTTCCAAGGGTCCTGCTGCCCCTCCCTGCCACTCTGCCATCCCTGCTTTTGTTGCTGGGGGAGGAAGTCATCCTGCCCCTGCTAGCGCTGCTTGGGGTCTGGGGCTGGCTTGGGTGCTGCGCTGCAGGAGGCAACTGGCAACTGTTGGCTGTGCTGCCCCCTCGGAGTCAGGGCCCTGTAGTGGGGAGGGGAGCAGGGGCAGCTTTGGCACGGGAGGCAAAACTAATTGTGATGACTGAAGATCCCGTACGCTTCCCCAGCCGTGGGCACGGACCGTCCGAGCATCCTCCTTAGATGGCAGCTGGGATAGTCCCCCTTGGTGCAGCCTTAGGTGACTGCACTGGTGCCCTGGACTCTGTTCCTGGGTTGACTGGGTTCGGGACCGTGCGCAGCCACTTGCTGCCTTGCAGTTTCCATGAAAAGAATCTCTTGTTTCTTTTTATTTCAGCGAAGGCGAGACAGAGGGGGCTGCAAAAGTAGAGGAGTCCCAGATAGAGCTGTAGCTTGTGTTAGCGGCAGTTGGTAGGAATTGGTGAAGTCTAGTGTGCCTCTGTGAGTGGCACTTGTGCCCGCCTGCGCCCGGAGGAGTCGTCCACCTCCACCAGTCTGGAGCATCATCTGCACGTCTCCCCAGGCAGCTGCGGCCACCTGGCATCTGAGGCCAGCCTGTGAGTACTAAATCGCGAGTGCACATAACATCTTGTTTTTGCAGGGCAGCTGCAGGACCCTTTGCTGAGGTCCCTGCTACACCCCCCGCCCTATGGCTGGGACAGGTTGCCTCAGCTGCAGCTGCCGCATCCCCCATTTTGGGGCTCGTGTCCATGCCTTTGCGCACAGGCTTCCACCCACAGCTCCCAGCTGTGGCCACCACAGGTCTCCTCTCGCACTTTGCCTTCCCGTGGCAGTTCCACCTGTGCCCCTGGCCTTGTGTCATGACAACTCTCCTCTCCTCTGCCCTGGTTGCCAGCCATGCTCTGTCCTCAGGAGCCTACCCGGGCTGTCTTCCAAGCCTGGTTTGCTTAGCAGGTGCTCCCCAATGCCATGGGCTGCATAGATTCCCTCTCCCCAGCTACTGCCGCCTCCTGCGGGGCTGGTTTTCAGGAGGCCTCTGTCTTCATCCCAGTCCCTATGATGCAGGGTTGCACCCGGGTTCCTGCCTTACTGACTTGAGGTCCAGTTGCATTTCCCCACCAAGGGTCCAAACCCTTTGTTGGCTGGTGCCCTCTGGTGAGCCCAGATATCTGGGTGTGGTGTAGGGCAGTGAGAGCGCCGCTGTTCATCTGGGCCTGGCCTAGCGCTCCCATGCAGGAGACGGCATGCAGCCACTGGACCCGGCAGGTGAAAGTTTACTCCGGAGCAGCCTCTGCCCTGGGACGGGGAAGCCCATCTCCACATCACTGCTGTTGGCCGCTGCCCCTGCATCCTGGCTTCTAGAAGCCCCTTTTCTTTTGGGCCTTGCCCACATCCCACGTCTGGCTGTGTCTTGTGGCCAAGTGATCCAGGAGTCTCCCTGCTGGGGTGCAGTGCAGGAAGGGTGTCGGTTGTGACTGGAGGGCAGTCCCCGTTAGGCTGGTACTGGCAGAGTCTCTGCTCGGCAGCTCTGTGTACGCGTGATCTTTTTCCAGCCTCGCTGCAGCCATAAAGACTTTGCCTTGCTTTCCTTGGTTCCTGCCCGTCATGGTGTGGACATGTAGGTCTCACAGATGGTGGCTTTGGGCCAGTGTGCCCAATGCATAGCGGCGCTTAGCATTGGCTAAAGCTTGTCCAGCGGTGGGACTAGTCTTTCTGTGCCTGACTTGTCAGGGTGGTGGATTGCTTGAGGATGGTGTCTCCTTGGGAATGTGGCAGCAGTGTGGGCTTAAGCCATGCCCCTTCTGTGGAGTACTGGTCACAGGCAGGTTGGCCGCCTTGCTGTGCCTTTTCTGCTGTGTGCGCATGCATGCAAGTGTGCATGCACGTGCCTACCTGTGCTTTGAGTGTGTGACCGGATGCCTGTCCATGCATGTGTGCTTCCTCTCTGCCTGTGTGCCTGTTTCTTCATCTTGCTCTGGATTTACACATGCCTGCCCATGGCTCTGCCTTCACACTTGCCTCTGAATGTGTTGCAGAGGGTGTCTGGCCCTGGGCATGGGCAATGCCAGGCCTTTGAGGTCGTCTCTAGCCTTAAGGTGCTGTGGGCCTCTCTCCTGCCTGACAACGGCAAGAGCCACTGCCCCTCTAGACAGGTTTTAAACTAAGCCTGTCATCTGGGGCCAGTGGCTGGGTGCCCCGTTTGCACGCTGCTGCCAGGGCCGAGCCAGTGGCTGTGGTGGGCAGAGGTGGGAGCAGTCGAGGGGATGCTGTGAACGGCACCATCTCCCACAAGCAGGGGGAGGTCCCTGTGACCATGCTCCCCACCCTTCATCATTTCCATTTTAATGGCTTTTTTTGCTGTGTGTCAGCTTCCATTTTTCATACTTAGCTCAGAACATAGAGAGGGAGTTTATATATTTTCCATCTGCTTTATTTCCCCCCAGCCCCTTCCAAATATCTCAGTTCAGCGTGAGTCCTTCTAGGTTGGGAGCGGGGTGTGGGGGGCACAGTCCATTCTGTTCCAAATGAAATACTGTAAAAAGAAAATAGAGCTGGGATGGAAGTAGATTTTTTGGCACTGTTACTAATTTTTTATTATTATTCTGGGCAGGATTATAGATCTCCAAACGTTATGTTTTGGCCATCATAGCAGCAACACTGTTATCAGGATTTCTTAGGGGTCAGGCCAATGCAGCAACCCTGCTGCATGGCCTTTTATGCATACATCTTGTCTCTCAAGTTGTTTTTGAATCTGAAGCATGCCAATAACCCAGTGCGTACAAATGACCAGGCCATTGTAGCGCCCATTACATGTGGCCTAGAACTTGCCGCTGCTCAGCTCAGTGGCAGCGGTCTCCAGAGAGCTTGCAGAGCTGAGCCAGTCTTTTGCAGCTATGAGCAACCCTACAATAACAAGAGCGGCGGGGGTGTGGGAGCGGGGAATAGTGATGGAAACAAGTTTCCATTTCGGGCTGTATGGCAGTCACTGCGTGAGTGGGACTGGGTGAATTGTCAGCACCAGGCTGTGGAGCAGCAGAGCTGGATGTAGCTGAATCTTTTCCAGTGTGCAGGGCCCTCGCAGTGGCTGGGGCTGTTCTCAGGCACGTGCCTTTGGGAATCTCTGCAAAGGGCAATTTTTGTTTGCTCAAATCTTTAGCCACAGCATGTTCAGGTGTGCTGGAGGAGTGGAGAAAACAGATACTGTTCTCGTTGCCTTGAAAGAAGGCCAGCGTTGGCTTTCGTTTTCGAGCAGCTCTGGCACCTGGTGCTTTGGAGGGAAGAGTGGACCCTGACGGGAACAGCGTTCCAGGCCAGCCTGGTGGGGGAAAACCCACTTGGCTTTGGCTGAGTTTAACAACATGCCCAGCTTGTGCACGATGATGCAACTACCAGGGCTTTCAACCAGCTCTCTGCTCTTTGGACAGGGGCCTTGCAGAGCTGGTGGCCCTCTCAAGGCCTCCAGGGCGACGCGTGTGATGGGACAGAGTCTGACCGGAGTGAATGTGCACTGAACGAGTGCAGGCGGGTGGCTCTTCCTCGTGCTGCAGAAGGCCACTGGTGTGCTATGTGCTTCCTCTTTGGCCTCCGGAGGCCCAGTGGCTGGACATCAAGCTGGATAAAGGGGTAGAAGAGAGGAAGTTGTATGAGCCCCATTGTACCCATGAAAATGGTGGCTGAAAGGTCCTGATTCAGCTAAATGCTTACGGTTTAGCTTAAAGTTAAGGCCAGAGGAATTGAGGGCTGGATGTGCTCTGGTTGGACTCGATAACAAAGCTCTGATAGGCCTTCACAGCGTGAGATCAGGGCCCGAGCAGCTTTAGGACAATCACTTGTCCTGGCAGAGCCAGGAACTGTGCCCCGATTCCCTAGGTTGCTGTCTCGCACCGTGCCGAGCAAACGTCCAAGGTCCAACGCAGACAGTGCTGCTATAAAATACTTCCCCTTTGGAGAGACCCCAAGGGGAAGGAGGGGCCACGAAGAGATGAGTGTCAATGAAAGCGTCGGGAGAGAATGTGCAGGGTGGAACGTGAAGCATCCGGCAGTCAGGAAGTGCCAAAGGTGAGGCGGTCCGTTCACGTGCAGCAAGTAAGGTGCCAGCATCCTGTTGGTCTGGGCTTCTCTTCTGTGCACGTGGTTCCTACCGTGAGAATTGTAGGAAGCTTGCTTGCACTCAGCGGTGGTGTAGCAGAGAGCGTTGGTGCGCAGGAGATGTGGTGTCTCGGGTATTGGGGCGCTCTCGTTCCCCCACATAGGCAGTGCACTCTGGTGTTCACCTCGTCTGCAACACTGCATGGAAATGCTCAGGCCTCACAGTGACTTTCTGAAAGAGCTAAAAGGATGTGCCCAGCACTTGCCAGCTTTGACGAGGGAAGCATCTGGAATATCTCCCCCTTGCAGTTGGGAAGGCTAAGGGCCTGATCCTGCCTGCCGGTAGTGGTACTGGAAGGAGCAGTCCCTGGAAGGAAATGGGACTACATGTGAGGCTTCAGTTGATGTCCCCACTGGAAAGCCCCATCACCAGAGCTCTCTTTGGCCTGTGTCTGCTGCTACTGCTATGGCATGAGGGTGTGTCCACACATGGCTGTCTGGGTAGGGCTGCACATCCTTGCTGGGAGAGCTGCGTTGGCAGAAGACGTGGTGCATGGCGGGTAGGACTGGGAACCTGTAGCTGCCAGTCCCGCTGTCGCTGGAGTGGGTCTGCACTGCATTGTGTTAGTGGTGCAGGGCTCATGTCCCGGCTGCGTTGTGCCGCCCTTCACTGCACTGGTGTGTGCACGTGGGGACTCCCGGGTGATGACAGATGACCCCCACTGATGGGAACCCAGCAGTGCGGGCCACGTGCAAGCGTTTGCTAGACTGGCCTGTACAATAGGTTGATGCCGAGCGGCAGTATTGCCATCAAGTTTTCTGTTCAATCGTTTATTTTCTAAAACATAACTTCTCTCTTTTGGCTGGGGGAGCAGCAGACAAGTCACATGCAACTCGTGTAAGATGATACAAGTGTCACCAGCATTTGCTGCTGAGCTGATGGAAACCCCCTTTTGTCAAATCAATTACTTGGCTAATGAGTGTAATTTGCTGAATAATAAATGAGTGAATATTGCTGGACCAGCCCTCGGTGCTGTGTCCCCTGTGTCGCTTTCCACTTCGGTTCTCTTCCGGGCTTCACTCCAGTCTTTCCTACAATAACTAGATCATGGTGCTGCTTTTCTATAGGTGCCTTCTGCTCCTCTTTCTGCTTTTCCTTCTCTCTCCTGCCACTGCTGCCCCCGTCTCCAGAGTCCATAGCCCAAGCTGTGGGCAGGTGGGTGCTCATTCCCTCTCCTGCTGTTGGCAGAGGCAGCCTGTAGGGCATGACCCAGTGCAGGGGAGCAGCCTGCAGCGTCTCTGCTTGGGGAGGGGCATGGGGAGCGACGCAGCCCCAGGGGCTTTCTCCTTCTAGGAGGCGCAATGTCTTGTGAGAGAGGTGCTCCGAGTGTGGCTGTGGCAGGCCACAGCAGGCAGGCTGCTGGCAGTGCCGGTGGCACAGGCCCTGCCCCAAGAGCACAGTGTCCAGCCAGGCTGGAGCAAACCTCAGGGCTGTTCTGCCACGTGGTCCCTGGGGGAGTGGGGCAGTGGAGAAACTTCCTTCTGTGACCGGCCCTGAGGAGCCAGGTCCTGACCCACAGAGTTGCCTTACAGGCTGGATTGACTTTGGCAATCATGATTTAAATCAGGAAGCCAAAAACCTTGATTTAAATAATCAATTTTAAGCTTGCTTTGCGTTTGTTTTGTTTTTCAGTTATTGTGCTTGAGAGAGGCTGGTTCTCGATGGTTGGTAGCCATAAAGACAGGGTGAGGGTGATTCGCAACTAAATATAGCCTTTGTTCTAAATTTATACTTCGATTACCAACCAAAAGGATGCACTACATGCACACTTAAACATAGCTTAGCATATTTTTACATTGTTATTTCTCCCCTTTTGGTTGCGTACAGATGATGATTTATATTTTGTATCTACTCCATGCTTAATCATTTATTTCTGATTTGCACTGTGTTGCTTTTGGATGGAAATGTAGAATTTCACAAAAAATGCAGAAGCGCAACATTTGAAAATAGTCTTTTCTTTGTTAGAACAGTTGGATGTGTTAAAGGAGAAAATATCCAAACATGCTTTGCTTTGACATAATGGAAATGATTTATCAGCCATCAGAGTTCTCGTGCCTGGCTGATGAATCAAAGTGCCTCTGATCAGCACGGCTGGAGTTCTGTGTCTCTGGTCATTGAAGTGGCTGGTTTTCGGTCATCTGCATGGCATTTTTGGCAGTCCTGTGCAGACAGCCGTTCCAGTCTGAGATGCGTGGGGCTGCCTGTGTAGATGACTGTAAATGCACAGCCCGGGCACGTGCAGCTGGCTGCATCAGTGCCAGCTGTGTGGAAGCACCTCTTGCAGCGTCTAACACCTGAAAACATAGATTAGCACCTGCTAGATGGAGCAGGAGGAGCAGGACCGGAGTCATCCAGACCCCTCTGCAGCGTGCCCTTTGCAGCTGTCACTCTGGGCAGCCAGAGAGGGAGGCAGGTGGGACTAGGAGGAGACCAGCAACCCAGAAGTTGTGTGGCTCCATCAGCTGAATGCTGGCCTGGAAGGGATGGCGCGCTGTGATCTAGCCTGGAGCTTCCCCCTGCACTGCTCTGCATCTGTTTTATCCGGTGACCATGTCGAATGCAAGGGGCAGCAGCTCAGCTTGAGGCGGAGTGCCGGAGAGCCCTTGGCTTACGGCATGGTGGTTCGAGCTCTGTGCTGAGAGAAACCCAGGTTCACAGTCCTCTCTAGGAAGTGGGGCGGGGGGGGGTCTCCAGCTGCCCAGACAAATGCTCTAAGTGCCTCCCCTTTGGGCCTAAATCAAGGCTGGGGCCACTGCCTCTTCCATTTTGTTGCCACCAGGGCAGGTATGTGCAGCCATCATGTGTGCATGGTCATGCATCCAGACTGGCATCTGGAATGGCTAACTGTGCTTGAGTGCCAGAAACGCCACGTAGACAACTCCAGGTGATGAGAAAGATGCAGGCCTCCACCCCGTGTCCTTGCAGATCTTAGAAATGGCAGGCCTGGGCCCTTGCTTCACTCATACATTGCAGAAGAAAACGAGCTTTCTTGCTCTTGCAGCTCCCAGCCAGCTTCTCAGTTTGAGTGAACCAGTCATTGAGCTAGACTGTGGAGAATAAAGCAAAATGAAGAAAATATTCTTCCTGCACCTGCAGAAAAGGGTGCAGCCATCCGGGGCTGGTTCGTCACCTCAGCAGACTGGGTCCAGCTGCTTAGCAAGGGCCTTTCTTCAGGTTGGGCATCTGACACTCTGCACAAGTCCAGTGGTGAACACAGACTGCTAGAATATTATTTCTTATTTCACTTAAATGTTTGGAATAGAGTATAGTAAGTTCAGGCCTTCATCCAGCTTGTCTTCATTTCAGTTTGGCTCACTTAAAAAAAAAAAAAAAATTCATTTTTAGTTTGTGAAACCAGGCTCTGAGGCCCCACACAGTTTAATCGCTGAACCTCAAGTCTGCCCTGCAGGTCCCTTGTCCCACCGGCCCCTGGGCTCCCTCTGGAGCGCTGGACGCTGCTGCCTTCCAAGCTGACTGAGACCCAGCATGCTCGCCCCGCTTGTGCTCTGGAGACAGGAGTTCAGCTCGTTGCTCAGTGCTCTCTGGTCAGACCTTGGTGTTGCCCTGCTGTCTGGGGGCATCTTGGCTTGGGGCAGTGTTGCTCACTGTAGACCTTCGGGGTTTGCTGGCAGGACTGCCCCCAGGGAGTCAAGGTGGGGTTGGTTTGGCTTTGCGCTACAAGGCGCTGGCTCGGTGCCACAGCTTGGGTGCAGATGCGGCAGCGGGCCGTCTTGCTGCCTCTGGAGAGGTCTGCTCCGCTGTGGGGAGATGCCCGGCGGGTCCTGGATTCTGCAGCAACTTGGCCTCAACAGGGTTAAGGTGCGGGGCCGAACGTGACCTGGTGGTTTCCCTTCTAAGAAAAGCTAATCTAGGTGGCGTGCGCACCCCCTGGGAGACCACTGGCAGTGCTTTTGTGGTGTGAGGTATTGCAGGCAGCATAGGAGGCATGCGTGAGTCACGCAGGGAGCACGGCTAGTTCAGGAGCTCCCCGTGCGAGCCACCTGAGCCCACTCCGGCTTTGCCATCCTGGGCCAGGTCGGGCCCAAGGAATGCGTTTCTGTCCGATTTGTACGTGTAACCACATGAGTTGAACAGGGTAACAGGAACAGGGAGATGGGACCTAACGCTGTGTGGGGGCAGCGGGAGGGCTGGCTGTGGGCTCGGCTGATATAGGAGGCATGGGACCCCGTCACCTGCTCTGCAGCGGGAGGAGCTGCTCTCCTGGCCCCCCGGCCTGGGCCGGCTCCAGTAACCTTTCTAATCGTAGCCCCGAGTTCCTGTTTCCCAGCGCCCTGTGTGGGGCTGACGAGGGGCACGGGCCTGGCAGTTTCTTCATTGTGGGGTGGCAGGGATCTCCGGCTGCTGAAAGGGGGTCAGCCCTGGGGGGCGTGGGGGCATCCCCACCTCCTGGCCAAATGGGGGCCATGTCCCACGTTCCTTGCTTTTGTTAGCTGCACGCCTGCAGCTGGGACCTGGGGCTGAGACGCCCGAGACCCATGCAGACAGCATCCTGCATCCCTTGGACTTTCTGCTGCCCATGCTCCGTGTTTCCTCCGCTTGGCCTGATGCGTGCTCGCCTCCCACTCGCTTGGTATCACGAGCGCTGCTTTCTCACCGTCTAGCCTGGCTCCTCCATCTGCTTCCCCGGGGCAGGGGCCACCTGCTGCCCACGTGGGTGCTGGGGGGGCCTGTGGGGGGCAGCTGTGATCCCCGCTGCAGGCGAAGGTGGAGAGTGCAGAGCCGGATGGGCTGTGCAGTCTCTCAAGCCAAGTGCGAAGGGAGGTGGGACATGGAAGCCGTCGCTCCAGAGAGTCTGGTGCAGGAGCCTGGCTCCCGGGAGCTGGGGGGGCCACGATCCTGATCGCCCCCACAGGAGGCTGCCTGTTCCTGCGGCCCGAGGTGCTGAGAAAAGGCTGGGTCTGGTTCCCGTTGAATCCAGCAGGAACGTTCCTGGTGGCTTCAGCTGGAGAGGGCTGGAGCCCTGCTAACGCAGCAGGCCAGGCCCATTGCACTCAGCTCTCTTCCAGCTGCCCGTGCTGCTCCGGGAGAGCCGGGAGCGCCGCTGCTGTGGACCTGTGGCGGGGTGAGCTCTGTGCAGGGGCAGTGCCGTGGGGACCAGCTGCCCCCTCGCTTCTGGGCGATTGCCTTGGTTGTTGCTGTACTCGAGTCTCGCCGTGGCTCGGTTGTGCCTGGCTTGGCCTGGTGCCCGGAGGGGGTTGTGTTTGGGGCAGAGTGGTTGGCTGATGGGCCGGAGGGGATGCAGTCTGACGCACTCCCCCTGTTCCTGTTCAAGGCAGAGGGAGGCATCGCTGGGACGTTGGCTGCAGCCTGCTCTCCAGAAGCTCTTGGCTGTGGGGGCTCCCCTCCTCCACTGTCGCCTCCCACACGCCAAGGCTGCTTTGTTGTGGGCGCTACAGAGCACCTTTGTGTTCCCAAGGGAAGATGGAGAGGCAGGTGGGGTCCCCGGTGTAGGAACGGGCCGAGGCAGGCTGGATCTGCCGTGCTGTCTGGACCCAAGCTGCAGGTAGACCTCAGGGCCTGGCTGTTCCTCCTCCTGCCCCATGCGGTGATTAGCAATGCTGCTGTGGTTTGTACGAGAGAGACCAGATGGGAGGAAGCAGCGCGGTCTGTGGGGCCTGGTGACGTTGCCTGTGATGCAGCAGCTGGGACCAGTGGTGATGGTGCTGCCTCTCCTCTGGGACCGTGCTGAGACCAGCCCTCTTTGCACAGAGTTACGTGGCTGACCCGCTGAAGAGGCCGGGGAGCAGCCGTGGGGGCGTGCATGGCTAGTGGCAGGGGAGGAATGTGGGAAAGGAACTCTGTCCTGTGCCCCTCTGCTGCAGGGGAGCAGGAAGCCAGTGGGTAGCGTAGGAGGGGGCTGGCTCTGGGTCCCGAATGGGCCCTCTGTTCTGTGGCTGTAGCGGAGGGGTAGGGGCACAGGAATGCAGCCCAGAGCACAGGGGCTCTGACGAGGAAGATGGTTTGCATCTAGGGAAGCGCTTGGTCCATGTGCTCCTGCTGGGAGAGTGTCAGGCGAGCTCTGCTGTGAGCATTGGCCACGGTACCACAGGCCGTTTCATCTCCCAAGGCTGCTGGGCCTTGTCCAGATGGAGATGTGACCAGGTCTTGGGAGCGTGGAAGAAATATTGCATCTCCTCCACCCCTTTTGGACTGAACGGACTGCGCTGATACTAGGGCTTTGCTCCATTTAACTGTAACTTTCTGAGCAGGGCGCTTTCTATCACATCCCATGGGGAGGCTGGTTCTCCGTTGCTCCATCTTGCTGCCTGTGCAGCTTCTCTGGAGCATGCAACTGTGTCCTCTGGTGAGCTCCCTCCTGGGGTCCCCAGCCATCTTGCTGCCCATAGCAATTCATCCTGTGCTCCCGTGAACTTGCCCGGGAGGCAAGTAGGTAGAAAAAGCCTTGGGCTGTTTCTACCTACGTTGTAGAGCCAGGGATGAGACCCACGTGTACCTGCCCGCCTCATGGTCCTGGTCCCTCTTGTGGAACAGCAGATTCTGGCCAAGTACTGGTCTGGGGGGATACTGGGGTCTGATCCCTGTGCTGCTTTGCTTACGTTGGAGAGGTTTATTGTGGGGCCTGTGGACTCTGGTGAAAGGGGCTAAGAGCAGCACAAAGCAGAGTTGTCAGGTCATCCCAATAGCCTGGAAAAATCTGCTTGGCTGTTCTGGGCCAGACCTACAGAAGATACACCTGGGTCTGACAGTTAGGCGTGCTGTGCTTTGCCCAGCTGCACCAGGCTGCTGGGCTGTCCTGGCACGGCAGAGCCCAGGATCCCAGTGGAAGTGGCAGTGCCTTTGGCTGCAGGAGGTGCCAGCCAGCCACATGGCTCAGTGGCTTCAGCGGTGCATGGCTGAAGCACGCGGGAGTCTAAAACCTCATAGCAGCAGCAGATTTCTCCGAGAACAGAACTTTCTAAGTCCGCCCTGCCCCTCCCCGCTCTGACGTTTCTCCATCGCCGCCACCGAGCAGTGCGTTTCCAGCTCCCGGGGCTGAGGTTTCAGCAGTGCCCTCAGCTGACCTGCTAATCAGCAAATGCATCTCAGCAGCCTGCCCCATCCTACGCAGGGACCTTGCACATCCAGGATACACAAGTCACAGACAGCTGGGAGCTGGAGTTATTAAGGGGCCTGGAGGAAGACTGAGTTAAGAGCCCTCTGGTTTCTCTGGTGATTAAGAGCTGGAGTGAGGATGCAGGGGCCATCAGGGAGAACAAATGCTCATTACTGAGCAGTTACTGGAAAATCATTGTGCTCGCCAGCTCCCAGCAGATCTGCAGCACGGAGCGGGCCAGGGTGGCAGCGTGCCCGGGGTACAGGGGCTACCCAGCACGGGTTGGGTGCCGGGTGGCTCAGGGCTAGGGAAGGGTTTTAGCATTTACAATCTAGTATGCAACACCTCTACTCTGCAGTGCAGCCGAGCAGACCAGGAGCCCAGCACACCCTGCTCAGCGCACAGGCAGTGCCACAGGCTGAGGTCTGCCGGCTCCTTGCCCTGCACTTCCATGGGAAAGATGCCTGTTCTGGGTCTCTGCAGTGCATTGACCCTAGAGGGTAACTTGCAGGCTGGCTCCCCTGCATCCCTGAACCCTCTGGTCAGTGTAGGCATCTCCCCTGCAGGTCCCCAGGGTGGGCCAGGAATTCCTGCCTTTGATTGCTGCCTCTGCCACCGATCCCCTGCGCAGCCTTGCTCCGTTCTCCTCAGTTCCCCCACCAATAAAGCAGGGGGCCTCAGTATTGTCTCACCTGGCAGGGGTCTCAGTGCAGCTACTGCAATGTCTGTAAAGCTCTGAGGATGTAAACTGGTCGCCAGCACTGAGGGTTGATTTGTTTTGTACTGCCCTAGCGCTCCCTGGCCCTGCCTGGAGCAGGGCACCCTTGTGCTGGTGCCATGTAAACAGGCGTGACGACACAGTCCCTGCCCTGAAGGGCCCAGAAGCTAAGTTAAGTCTGGTTGCAACAAGTGAGCATGATGGAGAGGAGGGGGAAGCCCTAAGATCTCCTAGGTGACCTCTGAGCTTTGGGTGATGGTTTGGAGTCATTTGGAAACACTTCCTCTCAGCCCGTGGTCATGGCTCTGCTGTGGGGGTACCAACACCTGCTGTTCCCAGGTGGGCTGGTTGCCCAGGCATCTGCCTAAACAGCAGCTGTGTGGGTCTGGCCTTGTGCCTCTTGCCTTACGCCTCGTTGGTGCGTGTGCAGCCTGCCGTCTTCCTGGACAGCCAGAGCCTTATGGCAGGCAAAGCCCTTCTCTCCCCTTCAGACTTGCTCTGGAAAGTGGGGTCCTGCTACCAGAGCCTTTCTAGGCTCCTCTAGGATTGGATGTAGATCTTTACTGTTGAATTAAACTTCCCTGAGAGGGTGTCGCTTCCCATCTGACTGCCTGTGGGCAGGCATGAGGGCCAGGAGGGGCTGTGCTCTGATGGGTGGGTGGTAGCAGATTGCGGCGGTGCTTGACTTGAGACCTGGATCTGGCGTCAATGGTAGAACATCTTGGTGACTGTGCATCTTACCCTTCTGGGTGGACAGAGGTAAACCAGTGTGATGCTGCCCTGCTTGTGTGGGATAGTCTGGAGTTTCTGCGACTCTTGGGGATCCTTGAACAAGGACTAGCTTGGGCCATGTCTGTACTCACCCACTCTGATGCCACCATGAGCTCTCAAAGCATGTGCTTGTCCACGTGCTCCTGGGGCTCCTACGCGGCCCCCTGGCAGCAGCCGTGACACCGCAGTACAGCTGCCCTGGGCAGGCCCCGGCTCGTGGACAGCAGTAGCTGGCAGCAGGTAGGGGAGCAGAAGCATGCCTCCGTGGGCAGAGGGGAAGGTCCTGCCACCACACAGCGGGACTAGGCTCCTGCAGAGCTGTGCCAGCAGAACCACGCTTGGCCAGCCAAGTGTTGGAGGGCAGATTAGGCCTATGCCATGTCCGCAGCCTCATCCTTGCTTCTCCCACCATCTCCAGTGGGCTATGATCCCACAGGAGCTCACTTGCTTCTGCTGTTGGGAATTGATTCCCTGTGTTACAGCAAGATGGCCCATCTGTTGCAGCCCTGGCAGTGCCCCGTGCTGGCTGCCAGCATAGGAAGGCATCCCCACCTAGCAATACTGGGTCCCAGCAGCAATGTAACTACCAGATGGGCTTCTCTGCAGGCTGTGGGGGCCCGTGTTTCCCTGCGAGTGGTTGTTTGTGCTGCCCAGGGGCCCACAGCCACTGAAACCAGGCTGGGCAGGGGAAAGCCAGCACCAGTCTGTCTGCTGCACTGTGGGCTGCGAGAATGGGTGCTTTCTCCTTGTGAAGGGGACAGCAGTCTCTGCTTAGTTTTAGAAGGGGTGAATTTTGAAGCCCCGACAGGCAGCGTGCTCCCACCATGAACTCCTTGCCACTGGCTGCCTATGGCAGGGGGTGCCCGTCTGTTACTGCCCCACAGAGGGGAAAATCGAGCGTGTTACCGGTGCACAGCTCCTGCAAACCGCTTGTGGCCACTTGTTACCTTGAGTAGATTTCCCTCTTGGCTTCAGTGAGGCTACTTCAGCTCCTAAGGTAATACATGCGCTCAAGGGCTTCGCAGGACAGAGTCTTGGAGCTGCCGAGGTGTCTGTTGACATCAAGGCAGGACACCGTGCCCACCATCCTCCTGCCATTCCCTGTTTCATTTTATTATTTGCCAGACATCGAGATTTTTAGAGTCATCTTTTCCCCACATATTTTAGTCTCCCCAGGCGTCTCTGTCCATCTGCTTTACATTGCGGAGTAGGCATTTTGTCTGGAGTAACCCATAAGAGTTTGTCTAACTTGGACAATTGCAGTTGGACTGGTTTGGGGGTTTCTACCACTGGTAGCTGCATCTTTCACACTACCCCAGCACAAGTGGAAGCATCATTCACTTGTAACTGCAACACCTTTGTAAGCCTTCAGAAACGCGCGTGAACTCTTTGAAACTTCACAGAAGCAGAACTAATACCCGCAGGAATTCACTTACATGTGGAACAAACTAGTGGTATTTTCAAGTCGCTAGCTTGGTGCTCAACTCATCTAGCTTTTCTTGCCCAAATGCATGCCCAGCATCTGAAGCAGAGAATATTTTGTTTTTGGCTGTTCTTCCAGCAGTTGGTGCCAGATTATATTTCCATGCATGTCTTCATTTAAAAATCAGAAGGATTGGTGCATATCTGCACTTAAATTTGGCCTTTTAATTACAGCCAAAGAATTAATCCAATCTATAAGCGATTCTGGATTTTCAGCAACTCCTTGCGTTCGCATTGTCTGAGGCTCGAGTTCTACATCAGCTGTTAAGGCAAACAGAGGTTTTTGTAGCGGAGGCATCGCTGCGGCAATCTCTAGTGTAATTAATGGTCGCTTCAAGCATCATAGACCTGGAAGACACAGGGGAGTTGTGCAGTGCTGTCTGGTTGGGGGTGGCATTGACCCGCAGCAGAAACACAAATGCAAGCTAGGACACTGGCACTGCTTTGGTCCCTCCCAATTGGGGCCAAGTGGTACAGGCCTGGGTGAATTTTCACTCGGATACAAGTCCCTGGCATTTGCAGGAAACAAGTGATGTTGCAGGTTTGACTTCTAGCTCAGCGGGAATATCTGTTTCCTGTTGGGGGAGTTGTGAAGCAATGCTTGTTCTTAGGAGAGGTGGCGACTGTTCCTTGCTCTTGTGCTAGTTTTTTTTATTTCCTGGACGTGACTGTAACAGGGTGGGGTCCTTAGGGATGGCCATGTTACCCCTAGGGCTCCTTAACCGTGCCAATCTCGCCCAACGGGCACCCTCTATCTCACCCGCCACATCTTGCTGGTGCTATTAATATAGGGAGGTTGCCCTTGATCTTTTATGTTTGGGCATGGTCTCGCTGGATCCTACTGAACCCTGGGGTTCGTAGACCCTTTGGCATCCCGCTTCATGGTGGATGTCTCCCGAGACGCTCAGCGCCTTCTGGGCTATCTGCACGGCTCCAAACCATCCTTTTATCACGCCCCAAGCCTTGCAGATGGTACTGATGTTGTCTCGCCTAGGCCTTGCTATAAGTTTGGCCCCCTTGTCCTCCCTGGGCTCTCTGCAGCCCTGTCTCAGCACCCCACTGGCACCAGGCTCTGGTCCCCCCCTTGGTCACTGCACCCCACCAGCACCAGGGCCTCTGCACCCCAAATACTGCACCTACACTGGCACTGGGGTGCCCATACTGTAGTGGGCCCCCAATGAGGCCTCCTCCCTCCCCAACAGCCTCACCCAAACCACCGGTATTATCGAGCAGCAAACAAACAACAGCAAACAAGCATGAGCGCCTGGGCTGTAACGCAACACAAAAGCTCAGGGCATGCTCTGCCCCTTTAAAGGAGTAAAACTTCTCTGGTGCTAAGTGCCGAGTAGGCAAGGGTACCTTGTGGGTTCCTGGAGGCCATAGGGCAGCGTATCTGCCGGCTGCCACAGCCCCGGGCCCGGGCCAGTCCTCCCCAGAGGCTCCTTCCCCTTCAGCTGCTGGCAGAGATCTGAGCTCCCTAGTCCCAGCCCTGGGGCTTATATGGGCCCAGGGCCCTGCCCCTGCTGGCCAGCTGACCAGGTGCAGGTGCAGCTAATTTCCTCGTTAGCCAGTTGCCACGGTAGATCTGGATCTTTGGGCTCTCCCCAGGCAATCTCTGCTCTTAGAGGAGCAGGCATCTTAGTGCCCTGCCACAGTGACAGTAGTTGTGCTTTAAACTTTCAGGGTAGTGTTTCCTTCCTTACTGTATTCTAGACTGGATTTGCAATGATGTTGTCTTCAGCATCCAGTCTAGTGGTAGCTGCTCCTTCCTCCAGCTTCCCAAGCCATTGCTGGGAGGGCGCTGCTTGAGGAAGCATCACTGGTGGATCACTGGTGGGGGCAGCTGAGATGGGACTGGGCAGCAGCAAACCTGTGAAGTCGCCCGTTTCTGTGGGCACTGGATTCTGGTGCCTTGCTCCCGTCCCTCTGCTTCACTGGGGAGGAAGGAGCTCAGTCAGCCCCAGCAAGGCATAATGCAAGGGAGGTTGACTTCAGAAAGCCATTTCTTAAGAGGGTGCAGCATGAACAGGCACCACAGCAAAGCCCCTTTGGCAGAAGACCCAGAGGTGGGAGGGAGCCTGGCGGGCAGCTGCTGGTGCTGGTGGCAGCTGCTGCAGCCCGGGAAATGCGGGGCGCCCAGTAGGCCCCAGCCACTAGAAACAGGAGGTAGAGCTGGTAGATGGGAGCAGCTGCTGAGGTGTTTGGTCACTTGTTGGTGCTGGTGGCCACCTGGGCAAAGGGGCTGCTGCCTGGGCACTTGTTCCTCAAGGGACAGCTCCCATGCCCTACCCTGTTCCTCAAGGGACAGCTCCCATGAATCGGGCACAAAGTCTAATGAGGCAGTAGTGAAACACTCTTTTCCTTGCCCTTCAAAGTCGTTCCTAGCCAGTGCAAAGTGCTTTCCCCAACGCGGGCGTGTGCCTTCCCGTGCCTAGGCTGTCATGTCCAGCGCACGCCAGCGGCAGGGCTGGACCCTGTGCCCCAGCACGGTAGCGCAGCCCTGCTGTCCTTTGTCTTGCTGCTTGGAGCATGTGGCTCGGCCCCCAGGGACTGCAGCCCCATGCTGCCAGTGTGCTGCTCGCACCGCTGAGACAGCCACAGGGCCCTGGGCAGGAGAGCCTGGGGCAGCTGTGGTTCAGGGTGCCCGAAGAGGCAGCCAGTGCAGGGGCAGGGGCATAAGCAGTAGGAGCCTTTCCCGGATAAGCCAGGGGCAGGTCTCCAGCCTGGTGCGGGAGCAGAGGCCCACCATCCATTGGAGCCCAGCTGTCATAAAGCACCGTGGTGCTAGGCAGCGCAGCTCCATCATGCTGCTTGCCTTTGTGGGGCAAGGGGACGGGGCTTGCCGGGCTGGGCCAGACCCTGCGTCTTGTTCTGAGCGCCGCCTGCGGGGGGTCACGCGAGTGCTGGTCGGGTGTGCAGCAGAGCTGCTGGCTGGAGCGCAGCAGACACAGCCCGGCTGGCGCGGGTCCCTGGCAGAGAAGTGCTGCTGTCAGCGGAGCGTGGGCCATGCGAGGCCGGCATGCACAGCTGTGCTGGCAGGAAGGCTCCTGCTGGATGCCGCCATCCCCGCGAGGGGGCGCAGCCACAGCTGTCCCCACAGTGGCCATGAGCAGGCCAGCCCTCGGGCCAGCAGCCTGGCCCCGAGGCCTCTCCAGGGTGCTGCAGGTGCCAGGCACAAGCAGCGCTAGCACTGCTGGGGGTGTATGCGTGGTTTGCAGGAGAAACCAGAGAGCTCAGCCAGGAATCCAGAGTGTCAGACCGCTCTGCCCTGCTGGGGCCTTCCCCAGTTCTTTGCAACAAAAGAGTTGCTCTAGAGTTTTTCTGCAGTCAAAAAGAGTGGAAGCTGAGAGCTGGCCCTTTCTGAGTCTGCCAAGGTGGAGACCTGCTGCCCTAAGCCGTGCCATCAGCTCGGAGTCGGTCAGAGCTAATTGCTGCCTGTGAGAGCAGTCCAGAGGGCTTGTGTTTGCAGTGATGGTGGCTTGAGCCATTTATGCTCCACGACAGGCCCTGCTCTTCCCTGGGCAAGTTGCACACACACCCAGGACCCCGAGTTCAGCTGCAGAGACAACATTCAGCTAGTGTATCTGTGACGTGGACAGATAACAGTAATCCCCCAGGCAGCAGGATGAGGCCAGGGCTGCTGAAGTGGGTTGTGAAATGCAGTGGAGGAGCTGGGATGTCATCCCAGCATCTCCAGTTCGTGCTGTAGTGTACTTCTGCCTGGTCTGGAGACACATGTGCTGCCTGAAGCATGGCCCCACTGGTGCTCCTTGCTCTGGGGCAGTGGGGTGCTCCTGGCTCCTAGACTATGCAGGTCCTATTTACTGATGTCGCTGGGCAAATTTTCAGTCCAGCTGCAGCTGCCAAAGGCATGCAGGACTGAGTCTTCTCACTTCAGCATCTCGCTTTCTCTTTGCAAGAGGGGTCAGATTGACTTGAGCAGGAAGAGAGGCAGCCAGGGACGGACACGCAGGGCAGCGTGTTGTGAAACCGGAAGCATCAAAACCTCAATAGTTTCTGCCACATTATAAATGATATTTACATATGTGATGAATGCAAATAAGCATTATGTCGTTTGCAAACAGCCCCTGGCGTGCCGGTCCTCCAGCCTTGTTGGACACTTGCATGTAGAGCTGAGTTTCCAAAGGCCTCGGGTTTGGGCTGTCCTAAGTTATGGCGTGTCTGGCTGGAGACCCGCAGGGTGCGGCTTGGTGTGGAGGCCCTGCTCAAGCGGCTGTTAGGTGTCAGTCCTATGAAGAGGCAAGGCTGGTCCAGGCTGGTGCCTGGGGTGGGACAGGGGCTTCTCTGCCAGCTGCCTGCTGAGCATGGATAGGCTGAGAGGCAGCGGGCATTGTTACTGCTCTGAGGCCTCTGGGCCCGTCTGCTGCAGCCCGTCTGGGCGAGGGATGCTGTGCTGCTCGGGAACCGAATCTCCTGGGCCGGCATCTCCCACCTCTGCCCGGCTGGAGGGTGTGGTCTGACCTGGCCTGGCAGGCTCTAGCAAGGGTGAGTGTGAGGCAATAGTCATCTGCAGCTGTATTCGGTGTGTGCACCTCCAGGGAGCTGACACGGGTCCCCGCAGCTTCTGGGAGCCCTGGCAGCCACGTGGCCTGTGGGTATTGTCTTGTGTTGGCGTGATCCCTGCATGGTCTGTGCTGCGTCCGGGAGGCGGTGCTGGGCCCCGCAGGCAGGCGCGGGAGGGACGGCACTGCGGGGTGGCCCAGTGATCCCAGCGGGGGCAGGGGGGCTCTGGGCACTGCAGCCAGTTCCAGCCTGTAACTGTCTCCTTGTTCTTGCAGGATGGCGGAGCCTCGCTTTAACAACCCCTACTTCTGGCCTCCCCCTCCCACCATGCCCAGCCAGGTAAGACTGCCTTGCAGCCCCAGCGAGAAGGGGAGGACTGGGCACCAGCCAGCTGCAGGGCAGCGAGACACCAGGTCGAGTGTGCTGCTGGTTGTGTTGGGGCCAAGGAGCCTTGGCAGGGCAGCAGGACCTGGGTCAGGGGCTGGAGGGACCAGCTCCTGGGAGAGATGGAGGGAGCTGAAGGATGTGGGCAAGTGGTGGCGAAGCAGGGGCCAAGAGGCTCCGGGTGCAGGGGGAGGTGGTAAAGGTGGTGTGGTGGGCATGGGGGGTGCCCTTGAACCCGTCCTGTCTGCAGCGGCCATTGGGAGGAGACCCCAGTCTGACCCTGGGGCTCAGCAGGGATGAGCTGTCCTCGTCTGCTTGTGACCCAGCGTGACAGCTGCCCCTGCTGTCGCCTGCGCAGGGGCCTGTTGCTACCAGCACAGGGGGTCAGTGGGGCAGCCTTGGGCAGTGGAGGCAGCACAGCACGCAGTGCTGGTTGACAGTGTGGGGCAGGAGCCCAGAGCCACATACTCGTGCCTCGGGGCAGGCCTCGGGGCAGGCCGTGGGGATGTCAGACATGTCGGAGGCAGCATCCAGCCCCCAACAGGCACAGCGGAGCCCCCCTGAGCAGGTGCGGTGGGAGAAAAGAAACACTTGTGTGGCTCGGGTTGGGGGGCAGCTCTGTGCTTGCTGGTGGGTGCAGGGGCACCTCCCATGCAGGTGGGAGCAGCTGGTGCCCCTGTGGCAGTGCCCCCTCCCTGGTGGGGCAGGTCCCTGCTGTCCTCTGCATCTGCCCGTGACCCATGCCCCCCGTCTTTCCCCTTCCCAGCTGGACAACCTCGTTCTGATCAATAAGATCAAGGAGCAGCTGATGGCAGAGAAGATCCGGCCCCCACACCTGCCGCCCACCTCGGTCTCCTCCCAGCAGCCCCTGCTGGTGCCTCCCTCGCCCGCCGAGAGCAGCCAGTCCATCATGTCGCTCCCCAAACTGCAGCAGGTCCCCGGGCTGCATCCACAGGCTGTTCCCCAGCCTGATGTGGCCCTGCACGCCCGGCCGGCCACCAGCACCGTCACAGGTAAGCAGCTGGCTGTGCGAGGCTGTCGGTGGCGGAGCTCGACACCAAGGTCTGGGGGCTTCAAGCTGACAGCTGGAGGTGTTTCATGAGAGGCTGGACAGCCACTTGTCAGCAATGCCCATTTTCACCCATAGATATTTCCCAGGTCTCTGGGCTTTGCTGGTTGCTCCTGTCCCCTGCCCCTTTCTGCTCTGTGTCAGGGCGTTTTTAAGCCTTCCCAGAGACCCTGGGTGTTGGCCACAGCCAAGGCTGGGACTTCAGCTGGACTGCGCTGGTTCTCCTGCTAGGAGCAAAGCCAGAGGTTCCTGGCTAAAGGGTCCTGCCCCTCTGCTCAGGATCAGACTGATGTCATATTTGGGCTCAGGAAGGACTTTTACCCCCTGGTCAGATTGGTACGGGCTGTGGGGGTTTTGCCTTCCTCTGTAGTGGGGGGCACAGGCTCTACCTGGGACCTCTCGAGTGAATAGACAGCTTGTTATAGAAGCAGGACGTTGGCTGCTGCGGTTCCCCTGCTTTCCCTGGGGCAGGTTCGGGTGTTAGGTCTGTGCTGTGTCAGGGCTGAGGGTCGTCTTGTGTAGAGTTTAGATTACGGTCGTCTGGGCTGGTCCTGCCTCAGGATGTGGCCTCTGGAGCTCCTTTCCAGCCTCACGTCTCTCTGACTCTCTGCCATGGTGTGGACATGGGCACTGCACAGGGGTGTTACTGACTGCCCCTTCCCCACACTTCTGTCTCTCAGGGTTAGGGCTGGCCTCCCGCGCCCCGGCAGTCAGCACCTCAGAGACCAGCACAGGCACGGGCACCGGCACCAGCACGCCCTCCACCCCCACCTCCACCAGCCAGAGCAGACTCATCGCCTCCTCGCCCACCCTTATCTCAGGGATCACCAGCCCACCCCTCCTGGACTCCATCAAGACAATCCAGGGCCACAGCTTGCTGGGGGCGCCCAAGTCGGAGCGCGGGCGGAAGAAGATCAAGGCTGAGAACCCGTCGGGGCCGCCCGTCCTGGTGGTGCCCTACCCCATCCTGGCCTCGGGCGAGACTGCTAAAGAGGGGAAAACCTACAGGTTGGGACACAAGCGGTACAGTACCACCTCTTCCTACCCCAGAGGCCCAGGGTGGGCTGCCCCCACCGCACAACCTGCCCCTGCCCCATTCCCTTCCCACTGCTCTTACCCCCGGCGCCCTGGCTGGGCACAGGAAGAGCCCCCTTCTGTTCTTGTACCAGCTCCTGGTTTCCATGGCCAAGGGAGGGTCAAGTCATGGTTGGCCAGGCCTCTGCTCAGAGGCCTCTTACCCACCTTGCAGTTGTGTCCTCGCAGGCTTTCCCTTGAGCAGCCAGCCTGGAGGATGCGGCAGGCCCAGCCCCCAGCTGTGGGGAGACGCGGGGGGTGAGCCTGGGCAGGCTGCCAGGTAATCTGCCCAGTGCTGCTCCCATGGGCAAGGCCCTAGTGCCCCATGTTGTCCCTGACCCAGGGCTCCTGCATCCACGTGCTGCTGGTGGTATCCCGCGGGCATCAGCAGGCTCAGTCCAAGGGTCGGGTTGTGGTCTCCACTCTTGGGACACTGCCTGAGCCGGGGACCTCTTGCTGTCCCCCAGGTGCAAAGTCTGCCCCCTGACCTTCTTCACCAAGTCGGAGATGCAGATCCACTCCAAGTCGCACACCGAGGCCAAACCCCACAAGTGCCCACACTGCTCCAAGTCCTTCGCCAACGCCTCCTACCTGGCCCAGCACCTGCGCATCCACCTGGGCGTGAAGCCCTATCACTGCTCGTACTGTGAGAAGTCCTTCCGCCAGCTCTCCCACCTCCAACAGCACACCAGGTGAGGGGCTGGGCCGCAGGCCGCGGTGGGCTGGGCAGCCTCCCCCGGTGAGGCTTTGGCTCTGGCCTGATTGAGTTATTGGCCCCCACTTTCTCGCTGGTGGCCAAAAAGCTGCAGCACTGCATCGCCCTGACAGCGCCCCGGGGCTCCGGTGCTCCAGGAGCCCACCCCACAACGCGCTGGGCGAGCACAGGACCGTGGCGCTGGTGGGCCTGGGGGAGTCCCTGGCCGCGGCAGTGGCTGTGGGAAGCATTTCTGAGCCCAGCAGGGCACAGGTGGCTGCGCTCGGACAGCGGTGCCAGTCCCTCTGCTCTGGGCGGTACGCGGGCAATTGCTTCCTGGTCCATGAGCTCCTGGGAACGAAGGCGGGTGGGAGAGGACGGCTCTGGCCCTCCCGCTGTCTCTGCCTCTGGCTGAGCGAGGCCGAAGACCGAAGGGGAAGGGAGCCGCGGGAAGACGGCCCTGTGTCTGCCACGGCCGTGTGGCAGGGCCGGGGCAGTTGTGCCCTGCCTGTGTCCCCGCCCTCACCGGGATGTGACAGTGGCCGGGGGCTGCCACATGGTTGCAGTTGCCACGGATACGGTGTTGCTGCTTCCGCCCCCCAGGGCAGTTGCAGAAGGAGCCACCAGGGGCGGCAGCGCTGCAGCAGCTCCTGCCAGGGCGTGGGTCCCTGCGCCCCTGCCACCGCCTCTGTGCTCGATCTAATGCTGGGTGCTGCGTCGGTCCGGACCAGCCCCGCGCCCGCCTCTGCCTGGCTGGCCCTCCAGGGCTGGGATGCAGCTCGTGACCCACGCAGCCCGGTTAGGATGTCCTGAGCAGGGTGCAGCCCCGCGCCCTCTTCAGGCTCTTGCTGCCCCAGCCTGTGGGCCGGGATGGAAGAAGGGAGAGGCCTCCGGCTGAGTTGACCCACCCCGTGGCAGGGTGCTGGGCCATGCACCCAGCCAGAGCTGCCACGGCTGCCGTGCCTGACCTCCCGCCTCGCGCTGTGTTGCAGAATTCACACTGGTGACAGACCCTACAAGTGCCCGCACCCCGGCTGTGAAAAGGCTTTCACGCAGCTCTCCAACCTCCAGGTTAGTGTGGAGGCCCTGGGTGCCCACGTGCTCGTGGCACAGCGCAGGGGGTCCCCGGGGCCTAGGGAAGGGGAAAGCAAGGGGTAGTAGCACTGGTGGGAGCAGGAGGGCAAGAGGCGCATGGCGGGTGGAGGAAGGAGGCAGGGCGTTGATAGGGTCGTGGAGCCCCCCGCCCTTCCCTCCCCTCCCCAAATCCTGGGCAGCCTGGGCCTGGCCCCAGGCAGGACTGCAGGGCCCTGTCACAGGGCTGAGGGTCTTGGCCTGGAGCTTGGGAGCAGACCGGACTTTGCCAGTCATTGTGCTCTCTGCCCCCATCTCCAGGCCAGGGCTGTGCAGAGCCGGGAAGGGTTGAGGTGTTGCTGTTTGGTGCTCAGCTGGGTGATGCCATCTGTGGCTCCCCGTGCAGGGCTCCCGGGGGTGGGGGGCAACAGGGTCACGGGGAGCTGGCGGGGGGTGGCAGTGTGGCACTGGGTGACGTCGTCTGTCCCCACAGTCTCACCAGCGACAGCACAACAAGGACAAACCCTACAAGTGTCCAAACTGCTACCGGGCGTACACGGACTCAGCCTCACTGCAGATCCACCTCTCGGCACACGCCATCAAACACGCCAAGGCCTACTGCTGCAGCATGTGTGGCAGGGCCTATACCTCGGTGAGCGCGGCGCGGGGCCTGTGGGGGTGGGCAGCGGCGCACTCGCGTCTCCTGCCTGTGCCGCCCCAGCCCCTGGGGCAGGGGCAGGGTCCTGCTCCTTGGCCCGGTGCTTCCATGGGGACACGCGTGGGTCCGTTGCTCAGGAAGGAAGGGCCCTAAGGAGCAGGTGGGTGCCGGAGGCACTCACAGACCAGCTGAGGGGCTGGTGAGCGAGAGTCCCTTCTGACCGTCCAGCTGAGCTCCCAGATCCCCGGGAGAGCCAGGGGAATTGTCACGGTGCAGCTTTCCATAGCATGGCGGCGGGGCAGGGGGGACAAGCTGATGGCAGGGACAGGCCCCTTCTGGGCACAGGGCTCCTGGGGCGCTGAAGTCCAAGCTGCAGACGGGGTGCGCGGGCCCTGGCGGCTCCCAGCCGCACTGCTGACCCCGGGCGGTCTCTGTCCCCTCAGGAGACGTACCTGATGAAGCACATGTCCAAACACACCGTGGTGGAGCACCTAGTGAGCCAGCACTCGCCTCAAAGGACGGAGTCACCCGGCATCCCAGTGCGGATCTCACTCATCTAACCCGGGGCTCCCTCCCTCTACCCCGCGCAGCCCTCCCTCCCTCCAGTTCCAGATCGTCGGGGCGAGGGAGCAGCTTGGAGACGGTCACGAGAACCACCCCCAGCACCACCGCCGGCGCCCAGGCCCGCTGGGTAGCGGGCACGACAGCAACGAGCCGCATTCGTGGGAGAAACAAATGCATTTGTGTTTGGCCCTGGTCCCTCCCATTCCCCATGGGGATGCCGGGATCCAGCCTGCAGTTTTGGTGACATCCAAAGACGATTTCAGAGCACTTTGAATCTCTGTGTTTGGTTTCTTCTTTCTTTTGTTCCCATTTGTTTCTCTGCCCCTCCCCTGGCCACTCCTTCCCTTTCTTCTCATTTTGGATACAAATATATATCTATTTATTGGCCAAGAAGTTGGTGCTGCTAGAACAGAAAATCAAACCCGGACACAGACTCGCTGGAGGCTGCGGGGCAGGGCAGGACCCAGGGCCAGGCGCTCGGGCTCCCCCACTGTCACTCTCAGGAGCCCCTGGGACATGACCACGGCTCAGTGGAGGGCCGGCTCTTGGCATCGCTGACCTCTCCTGGACTCCTTAGGAGCTGCTGTGAGGCCGGCGAGAGGAGAGAGGGTTCATCTGTTGGCTGGAGAGTGAGACCCCGCGCAGGCAGAGATGGGCATGCAAGCAGTGGCCTGGTGCCAGGCCTGCCAAGCAGCACTGCAGGAGGGAGACCTTTGTCCCGGTACCTCTGTTCCTGGAGCACGTGCTTCCACCCTGCCGTCCAGCTGCTTTGGGACACCGGCTGCTTCCTTTCACGTACCTCATGCTGTTGGTGCTGTGCTGTATTCGCCCACCTGCCCCACAGCACAGCCAGGGCTGTGGGCCATGCACGCGCCCCCCTGGCCGTGCTGGGGCTCCCCGCGCTGCCTGTGCTGAGGCTGAGGTAAGTGCGGGCCACTGGAGGACTCGCTTGGTGCTCGGCCGGGCTGCAGCCAGGGCTGTGTAAGCCAGGGGGCAAGAGCAGGATGTGCAGGGTGATTCAGAGGCACAGCCCACAGAGCCGACACCCCCCAGCTCAGGCGCCGTTGGCTGT